GGGGCATGGATCTCTGAGACCCACATGCAAGCTAGGATAACCGTGTTCATGTAGCATTCATTGTCGCGGTTTCCTAGAGCAAGTTTGCATATGTGCTGAAGAGTCGCCGGCGTCTCAGCTCCTGCGCGATGGTCTGAGCTAGCGCCGATCTCTGGCGTCGTTCCCTGCGAAGGGTAGTCGCCACCAGCTGAAGCGAGGCGTTGCCTGACAGGGCCTCCATGATTGACCAGAATCGAAACGCCTTCGGCTCTCGCAGACCCACTGTCAAGCTGAACGTGACTGTCGGGCCAGTCATGTTCTCCGCCAGCGTCCTGGTCGGGTGGAAATTGATGAGAACTCCGTCCACAATGCTCAGCACTATGGACTCGTCGAGGAGGGAGAGAACCTCCTGGATGCTCAACGGGGCAATGCTGGGCACCTCCTGTAGTGCCTGTGCTTCCTTGTTCCACTGGACGAACTTGAAGTGGCTCGTTTCTGTGATGATTCCCCGGCGGATTGCTTCCTGCATCTTTTCTTGGTCCGTCTGCAGCTCGTGGACTCTCTTGCGCATCTCGTTGGCCCATGTTTGGTACAAGATGACCCTCATCGGCTGCTGGAGGCTCGACGGTTCTTCGGCTTTCATGCGGTGCCATTCGGTGCCGATCTGGTGCAGGAGTGGTAGTGTCGTGAGAGGCGGTGCTGTGCCTAGAAACATGATCCATCCTGTTGACATCTGCATCCCGTTCCAAAAGTTGTCGTGTCGAATGAGCAACTGGGCCATGTGCTCCACCAGGCTGTCGCTTCCAGAAGTCCTGGAGCGAGGGTTGCCTGAGCGACTTGGCTGGGCATTGTGTTGCTGCCCCTGGAACTGAGGCCTGGCTCGTCCTCGTTGGCTCGGCTGCTGGCTCTCCGTTGTCTCGTGTTGCTGGCCCTTGCCCTGATCCGTACCCTTGCCGTTGGTTTTGGGGTACTTCGGCTGTGACGGAAACTGGCTGGGCCGGGGCTGCTGTCGAACCTCGGAGTGTCTCGGTGGGGTTTGAACCTCCATGGTGTTTGTCGGAGGGAGCGCCGGCATTGCGGACGATAGACCCTGTGCTGGCCCAAAGAAGTTTTGCCCCTGGATTGCCATGGTTTGGATGTGCTGCAGCTCCGCAGCCGCTTCCAGAAGCTCGTCCCGGGAGACTCCTTCCAGGTCCATCCTGTAAAGGAGGCAGGGTGGGCGGTTGCCACAGGGCAGTCAGGAACTTGGCTAACAGTATGATGGGACATTCTGCTGCATGCTTAGTCTGATGACACTTGAAGGCCTTTCCACAGTAGCGGCAGGGGGAGCAGAGGACAAGCTGCCGTCTCTGGCTTTGAGCTGAACTGCGAGAGTGTTCTAGCGCCGAGCAGGCCCACGGATGAAAGGCTTTTACATGCTGGGTAATGCCACGGAACCGAACCATCCACTGATTGCAAATGGGGCAGTACTGGCTGAGTTGTTCTCCTAAGGCTTTCAGGTGATAACTGACCTTCTCCCATCCGTCATGTACAGATGCGGAGATCTGACTGTCCCAGTACACCGCTGGTTGGTTCGCTGTTGGCTCAGGTTGTAATAGCTCCTCACCATCCGGGTAGAGTGCACTGCACGACTTGGTAAAGATATGAACCTTCAGGTCATCCCAGGAGTGGCATGAGCGGTGACAATGTCTACAGATGCAAAGCCCTTGTGAGGAGTGTAACCACACAAACCGCGTCTGTGGATCCGCCCCTTGCATTTCTGTGGGCATCAGTATCTGCATGGAGGTATCCTCCGAATGTGCCTGGACCTGGCGTCTGTGTCTGGACTTATTCGGATCGACACGAAGAGGCTTTTCCTCAGGATGTTCCATGACAGGGGGTGTGACCTCCTGTGCTTCCTCTGCAACCTCCCCAGTCGGAGGTACTAGGGTGTGCACTGCCCTCTCATGTACCCTAAGTGCTCCCAGAGAGCCAAAAGTCCTTTGACAGTAACTGCATGTCAGCTCTCGGGGGGCATGGGCCCTCCTGTCCACTTCCAGGTCCTGCGCCGATGAGCTTTCGTGGATATCGGCGGGTGAGACTGAATCTGCGGAGGAGTACTGAAAGGTTAACCTTAACACCTCCAGCCAGGGTGCAGTGCCCGGTCTGGCAAGTAAGAGCGGCGGCCTAGTTGGGGAGCTCATGTGCTGTTGACATAACACATACCAGGGGTCGTCTACCTTAAGGCGCTGGAGAATCTCGGCTGAGGGAATGTGCCACAGATGAGCCGGGGAGCGGGCTATCATTCGTAGCTGCCGATTGACTGCTTGGCGGATAAGAAGAGGGCCCTGCGATGGTAATCCTACACTGTGGAGGGAGTATCTGAGTACAGAGAAGACGCAAACTTTCCACAACCGGACCTTAGTGCCTAAGCCTAGTGCTCTGGACTTGAAAATGTGGTGCAGGCGCCAGAAGCTGCCCCAGGCAACATCCAGTCTGTGCCGAAGGTTCAAGAGCTCAAAGCCCTTATAGGCCAGCTTGGCTCCTAGGTAACGGTGCGTAGTAACAATCTGGAATGGTAGCCTAGACTGACCAACCGGAATGACTAAGTGAGGCACATCCTCAATGTACTTGCGGTGCTTGGCTAGAACAGACGGTGCACTTGTGCCTCCCAATGCAAGCAGGATGACAGTCTTCTCCATACTGAGCTGGAGTCCTGCTTTTTGAAGGGTGGCAACTAGTACGCCAATGGCTCTTATGGCCTTTGCAAAGGCAAGGGAGTCCTGAACCAGCCAACTACCAAAGAAATCGTCGGCAAAGATATTGATGAGACCCTCTGGGAGAGATAGGCTGCGCAACTCTGCCTGGAACATGCGGTATACCTTACCCGTTATTAAGGCCCAGAGTAGTGGAGAGAGCGAGCATCCCTGTCGGACTCCCGTACCTAGGAATATGTCAGCCGATTCATCAGGTCTGCCCACCTGCAGGCACGCGCGTTCGTGGAGGTGCATCACTAGATTGATTTCCTGTGGCTCAAACCCAGCTTCCAGCATCGATTCTCTGAGGAAATCATGTGGTAAACTGTCGAATGCCTTTTTGATGTCTAGGCTAATAGACAAGCCTCCCACTAGCTTATGCGGTTGACTGCCTTGGAACCTCTGGGGCAAGGAAGAGGAGCCGCTAGCTATGAGATTACGGGCCTGAAGGAAGTGTGAGCACACGGATTCAAGTGCATCAGCCGTTGATCGGCCCTTGAGGTATGCCCATTGCGGTACCTCTCGCAGATAGTTCTCTATTTTGGACTCCACTTTATTGGCCAGCATAATTGCTAGAAGCTTGTTGCCTGGGTGCAGTAGAGCGATTGGCCGCAGATTCTTGGGCTCTCTCACAGTAGGAACTTTGGGGATGAGATGTAGCTGAACCCTATGCCAGTCTTCATGCAGAGCCGAGGCGCTTAGGTTCACAGCTGGCAACAGTATGGAGACTACCTGGTCTGCGGCCAGCTTCCACAGGCGGGCTGGGGCAAAACCTGATGGCAGAGCTTTGCTCGGACTTATCTTCGCCAGGGCTGTTTGCAGGTCTCCGGATGTGAAGTGCACTCCATGTATGCCAGAGGCTGGTGGCAGTTGCACAATGTCTCGGCTATGGTACACACCTCTCAAGAAGGAGGCTATGTGCTCCGATTCGTCCCTACCAGCCAGGAGCAAACCCTGATCATTACGAAGCTGAACTCTCATGGTTCTGGATTTGGGGGCCAGACGCCTCACGACAGAGAATAGGGTGGAGGGATATTGGGAGGCTTCTGCTTCCTGGAGCAAGGTTTCCACTCTCTCCCGCTTGCGATCCCTACATGCTTTGCGAAGCTGTCTTTGCAGCCTGGACAGTTTGGTAGCCAGAAGCCAGCCCCGGATTACAGAGTGAGTGCCTGGAGGCTGGGACCTCTGTCGACGCAATGCCCATAGCTGGCGCACAAGACCAACCTCTCTGCGTGGAGACTCACGCGGAGGCGAAGGGTTCATTGTTGGGCTTACATCTCTCCAGGCTTGCAGAATCACCCTATTGAGCACCTGAGCGGGATCGCCTTGTACCGCAGTCGACGGGGGCATGATCTGGGCCATTCTGGCTTGGAACTGCTCTGCTAGTTCAGGCTGACCCTGTAGTTGCTGCATAACCTCCTTAGCCACGACGGAGGATTGTCTGGCACGACTCTGTCGGGGTGGCTGAGGTTTCGGCAGGGAAGCTAGAATCGGGAGATGACGCATGCCCTTGTCCGGTACAAAAGGTGCCCTGATTGTGCGCGCTCCCTTGGCGATAGGATCTCCATGCTGGGCTCTGCACAGAACAAAGTCTATTTGGGTGCGATGCTGACCTCCTGCATGATCAAACTGATACGTGTGACTGTAGTTTCTCCTACCCCAAGTGTTCAAGGCTACCAAGTTGTGGTGTCCGATGAGGTGCTGCAATCTGTGTTGGTCCTTTTGTCTGATAGCCCCAGTGATAGATGTCAGTCCAGTACCTACATGTGGGGCCTGTTCCTGACATGGGGTGTTGAAGTCTCCAGCCAGCACCAGCTGGCAGCGCCATGGCGTGCCTCGCACCAGCTCACTTAATCGGGTCCAGAAAACCTCTCTTGCTGCCTCGCACTCTACAGCTCCTTTGGCTTCGGACCACACATGCTGGTAGGTGCCTATGATGCAGATTGCCGGTGAAGTTTCTAGTCTCACTAGTATTAGGCGCCCCGGAATGGGAGCTGTGGAACGAATGGCTGTGGAGGAGACCAGGCTCTTATGTATCATGACAAGAATGCCAGCTTTCCTGTTGCTGAGTCCCGTATGAATCATATGATAATGGGGTGACATCCACTCCGAGTCGAATGACCAATGAGTCTCAGTTAGGATGCAGGCATGTATGGTTGTGCCTGCTTGATGACACGTGTCCAACCACGTCTCTATTTCCGCCAGGCGGGTGGTGCTCAGTCCTCCAGTATTCCACGTGAGGATACGCCATCTGTCCGGGTGCTGTTGCAGCGGTCCGGGCCTTCCTGGTGTTCTGATGGATTGCTGGGGACTACCGCTGGGCTCTGTCACCCTACCCGCACCTAGGGTCTGAGGGGTGTGTAGGCGGCCCCGGTATGTGGTAGCTCCCTGCTGCTGGGCACGCTT